AAAGACACAGTCTCTGAATGTTTGGGCCAGGGAGATGGCTCAGTGGAATAAGCGCTTCCCTGGCAAGCGTAGTAAGGGCCTGAGTTCAATCCCTGGTTCTGAGAAAAAAAAAAAAGACACAGGAATAGCAGGAGTCGTCTATCTACCAGCAACAGACAAAATATGCACTAATGACATGTGTTCTTGTCCTTCAATGACTGCTGGCCACCTTATCCTGGGAATTTCCCATCCGTCTTCTCCAAGGAGTCCATCCAATGCTTGTGGCCCACTCCGTCTGGTTCGTTCATGTCCACCACCTGCAAGTCCACATTAGTAGCCATGCAGTGCTTTCACCTTTTTAGCCCACAGCCTCAGGAAGTCACCTTCCATATTGCAGTGTATTTTTGCTCCCTCTGAAAGAAGCTTTTCTTCAATAAAAACTCTTATCCTAACTGTTAAACATTGTTCTTTTTTCTTTACACTGACAATAGTTTTCAAAGGAATTGTTTTTATAAAGCTGTAAGAAAAGAGCCAGCATACCTGGTCAGGATCACACACATTTACATCTTCTCACACCTCTAGCTCATGGGTGGCAGGTGTGACACACTGATGGGTTTCTTTCTCCAGGGGCTCTTCCCAGAGCTGTGGCTCACTGGCACCCTCATCCTTTGCATTCTTCTGATCTACATCATCACCTTCACTGGGAACACTGACTCCTCCTCTTAATCTTGGTAGACTTTCGCCTGTACACCCCCATGTACATTCTCTTCAGCTCTCTCTCTCTTATTGTCCTGGTTCTAACTTCTTCCATAGTCCTAAAGACAGTCATCGACTTTCTGTCCTGGAAGACAGACATTTCCAATGTCGGCTGTGGAGCGCAGAGTTCCTTCCTCTATGCTCTTGCTGATGGTAAGTGTCTCTTTTGGACGCTCGTGTCTTATGACCTCTGCATGGCCATTTGCCACCCCGTGAGGTATCAAATCACCATTGATGTCCGGAGTCTGTCTACTGAGGACCCTCTTCTCCTGGGGGAGAAGTGCTCTGAATTCTCTCAACAATACTGTCCACAGGCAGTTCTCCTTCTATGGCTCCAGGGAAATCCACCACTTCTGCACGATGCCTGCCCTCCTGGAACTCGCTCGTGAGGACACAGCATTGTATGAAACAGTGAAGTCAGTCCTTCTTTCCTTAGTTGAATGAATTCCCCACCAGCCAGGAGAGCAGCACTGGCCACCTGTTCCCCTCACCCGGCCCCATGAGCCTCTGCTAAGGGCCAGGCATGATCATCTACATGGCCCCCCTCGTTTCACACGTAAGAGCAGGATGACAAACGCTCTGTGGTGGCGCCCTCTCTACGCCCATGCCCAACCTGCTCATCTACAGTCCAGGGAACAAGGAGGTTCTGGCTTCCCAGAGGAGGGTGAAGAATCCAGGAATGATTTTTATGGACAAACAATTAGCTTCACACAGCTGTGGGAACTCAGAGCTGCAGGACAGATGTGAGCCAAGTGTGTCTCCACGCTCTCCCTTGGACAGGTAAATATTTATCCACTCTAATGCTCTTGTGATCGTAACTTAAAATGTGGCAGGGCTGACCTGAAAAATCTAACCATCTGGACATGACCAGCACGGACTCCTGCTAGGTGTGAGAAAAATAACAACATGCACTTAACGGCTCTGTGTATAAAAATCTGAGTATGAACAATTTATTGATTCATAGTCCAAAAAAGACAATTACAAACAGTTTGCGGCTCCATCCGTAGGCTCAGCTCAGCAGTGCAACATGCTGAGCCCTGGCAGCCTGCAGGATGGTGGGCTGATGATTCAGACCAAGCCAGCTCAAGTCTGACTCAAGAAATAGCCAGGCGGCTACGCCCTGGCGGACATGGCGGTGTCTGGAGGTGTTTGCGGTTGTCATAACTTGGAAGCAACTCGAGGGCATAGTCAGGGGATCCGCTACGCGGTCTACAGCACAACCCCGGTGGCAAAGAGCTACCCAGCCCCAAATGCCAGCTGCGCCGGGCTGAGGAAGCCTGCTCCAGAATGGCGACAAGGGTTTCAGATGCACCGGGAAGGTCAAAGGCTTGCTCACCGAGGTCATGCTGCCTGCCAAGGACTTGCAGACACTGCGCTAGGTTCTTTCCAGAGCAATCCATCGCGGTTCAGAAGTTCTGAGGCACAAACAAGCTGTGCCTAGAGGATGACCGTACGGTACTGACGTGAAACACTTCTGAAGGAAAGGTGTTTGGTTCTGCTTGTATGTTGGTACCGAAAATCAAACTCAGGAACTGTGCACTGAGCTACAGCCATTTTGTTTATTTTTTATTCTGAAAAAAGATCTTCTTATACCCCTAAGTTGCCCAGGGTGGGCTTGAATGTTGATCCTCCTGCCCTAGCCTCAGAGCACCAGAATTACATGAAGTCCTAAAATTTACCTGAATGTCTCCATTCAGGTATGGTAAGGCCAGTATCCAGCACCTCACTGCCATGGAGCAGCGTGTGAGCACTCCAAACAGGGAGTTCCGGGGTACGCTGGGGCTGCTCAGGAGGTGCCACGGGAGGGTGCGCGTGGGCAAGAGCCTCACCAGCTTTTGTGGGACGGAATGGGCCAGACAGGGTAGGCAGCTGCACCAGCTTGGGATGCATGTTCACGTTACCTGGAATGCTCTGGGCTGTAGGGGTGCTCTCCATTGGCTTCCAGACCTGGTCCTGGAGTTATCAGGGGAACAGGACAGTGTCCCTGGCTGTCGGAGTCTGATAAGAGAAGGCAGAAAGTGCACGGTGTCCAGGTTAGGTGCTTTGCCATCAGAGGCCTTTCACGTGAGCAGGCAAGGTGTTCGTGAGCTCCATCCAGGAAGCAGCTGAGTGGAGTGGGGTGGCTCCTGTGCAGGCTGACAAGACCTCATGGGGTCAGCGCGCCATGGCGCAGAACACAGGCCCACCACACCACACCTTCACGCGAAGACCGCTGCGATGCTGGGCTTCATGCTCAGCTCCAGAGACGGGCTGTGGGGGCAGATTCTGGGCGCAGGGTATCAGGCTCTGGATGTGTTTAGTCAAGACGAAAGGTGTCTGTGTGCATGGCCACCTAGAGTAATGGAGCGAAAGGATCCGTAAGAGGGGCCTGCGGCGGCTGGAAGAGCTCGCCCGGCACCAGGAGAGACGTCTCCTGCGGTGGCTCGCTCTGGCTGATGGTGGGACGCAGGGCAGGTCCAGCTCCCCCTCCAGCTAGCTTCAAGGTTGTGAGACATGGGCAGCGAGGCACCTGCAGGTCTGATCACCCCTGGTGTGCTGTGCCTCCTTCTCTTAATTACCTTTCCTTTTACAAAAGACTTACCTCCATATTTCCTTCTATCTTTTATTTTTAATTCACTTATACTTTGGGCTTCTCATATAAATCTGTGAGGAGGATACCTATAAGGGGACTAGTGGGGACATGCATTTATAATAATTTCTCACTCTGGAATAGTATCAACAGTACACAATCTTGTGAGAAACTGTACAGAGCTTCTGCTGTGCCAGAGCCCTGAGTTCTTCACTGAGTTATGCACACTGAGGCAGAGGGCAGGCAAGCGGGTCTGTCTTAGAAGGTTCTCTGAAGGTCTTCTGTGGGGCGCCAGGGTCTGGATGTTGGAAATTCCCACATCAAGCAGGTAAAGGATCTTTAGGCCATGGTGGTGGCAGCAGTGGTCTGAGCAGCCACCTCGTAGCAGGGAAGGGGTCAGGCAGGGTGAGGGATTGGACGAGGCTGCTAATGGGCAGCCGGTAACCACTGGGGTCTGCACAGGGTCCCCAGCCCTGGAAGAGGCTCAGGCGTGCAGGTGAGATTCTGACTCACCTTCACTTCCTGGCGTGATGACCTTGGGTCATTCAGTAGGGGCGTCCCTCTGGTTCATCCCTGGGACAAGAAGTCAAGCCCCAAATTCATACGCCAAGAAATGAAAGGAGAAACCCTTCCCCCACCACTCTTGCCTCCCCCTCCCCCTCCTGGAGCAAACTGGTTCCACTCCTTACCACTCCCCACATGACTACAGCCTCACCAGGTTCAGGCTTCCTCTGTTGAATGCAGAAGTAACCCAGCCTCTGAGTCACCAAATTCCTTTCCTACCTCTAGGACAAGTGGAAGACCCCATACGTCCTCCTTCCTTGGCTGCTCTTGCCTTCTCTCGCACCCTTGCCCTTCTCTTCCTCCAGCTATACTGTCCTCCTGACTGCTGCTCAAAGCTGCTAAGCCCAGGGGTGCCTCAGGGCCTGCTCTGTAGAGCTCCCATGTGCCCGCACTTTGGTGCGTGGCTTTCTCCCGTCACGTCATCTAGGAACTGCTCCTGCCTGACCTATCAGAGACAGCTGCACTGATTACCCTGCCCCACACGGCCTGCCGCCTCCCCCCTCCCGACTCTGCTTGTGTGGGAAGTGTTTCTCTATTCCCACTGGCACGTGAAGATCAGGATGCAGAGGCACTGCTTCTCCACTGCCGTTTTCTCAGCTCTGTGGAGTCAATTAATAACTGCGGTCGGATGAACAGATAAAAGAATGTTTCATCGCTGAATCTCAGCAGGGTTGGTTGTGTTTCTAGGCTCCCCCTCTTGCAAATCTCTCCTCCCCTGGCAACACCACTGTGTTCCTACCTTTCCTCCTACTTCTGGTCCACTCATTTTCATTATTAGGTGACAGAAGTGCTACACCTGGCACTAGACACTTCTTTTAATGCCTCCCACTCAGGGCCCTGGCTTCACCTGCCACCCCACACCTCCCTGTCAGGACACCCAGACACCTCCCTAAGCTCCTGACCAACAGCTGGCTCCATCGTGGAGCCCCTACTGAGTGACCCAAGGTCATCACGCCAGGAAATGAAGGTGAGTCAGAATCTCGCCTGCACGCCTGAGCCTCTTCCAGGGCTGGGGACCCTGTGCAGACCCCAGTGGTTACCGGCTGCCCATTAGCAGCCTCGTCCAATCCCTCACCCTGCCTGACCCCTTCCCTGCTACGAGGTGGCTGCTCAGACCACTGCTGCCACCACCATGGCCTAAAGATCCTTTACCTGCTTGATGTGGGAATTTCCAAACAACTGGCCCTGGCCCCTTTCTGGCCTTTCCTTCCCTACATATACATAGCTTGTTTCCAAGGTTTATCCAAAAGGATCTGTGAACACAAATCTAAATACATGAACCAACCCTATCCTTCACTTTCTTTTAAACACTCTCCCATATATTTTATTAGCATCTCAGGCATGACATATATTTATTATGTATTTAGTACAGGGTCTACAGGGTTTCACTACACAGATCAGACTTCTAGTGATTCTCCTGTTTTCAGCCTCCCAAGCATTGGGATTACAGGCATGTGCCACCATGCCCAGACTCAACTGCCATCTCAGTGTACCCCGGGGAAGGGACCTGCACAGCATGCTGGGAACTGAACCCCTGCTACTTCGTTCTGCCTCAGCAGACACTTTAGTCCACTGAGCTATCTGGCTGGCCCCTCATGACACATTTAAAATACTTAAATTGTCCACTGTCTGTCTTCTACTACAAATCAAGCTCCATGAGAGCTAGTAGTTTCGCTTCTGCACTTGACACATGAGAAGAATTTATGAAATATTGAAGATTTGAGTCAATTTATATCACGTACAGGCATAAATTCTATACGTTGAATGTGATCATTATGTACACCTAAAACGTACCAATAAAATGACCGGAAAAATACAAAGAATATGAGCGCCTCTGTGAGTTAAAAACCTCTCACTGCCCGACACCCAGCTGTGGCCTGGCTGGCTTGGCCCCTCATGCCACAGTCCTTTCCCTTGCGCTCTTCCACGCCCACTCGTGAGCAGAGCTGTTCCCTATACCACACAGTGCTCATCACACAAACGTACTATCTCATTACTCTTTTCTCATTGCTGGAAGAAAATACTCAACACCCAAATTTAAAGAAGGAAAGGTTTACTTAGCTCACAGTTAGTGGAGGGTTCACCCCATACTCAGCTGGCTCCAAGGCAGAGTGCCACTTGGCAAAATGCAGCCTCTCCTGGCGGCGGCAAAGAGCAGAGAGAGCTCAGGTAGGGACAGCAGCTCAGGCCGCTAGCAGACCTGTTTTCCTCCCTTACATCGTGACGCAGATTACCTGCCCCAGGGCCAGGGTGAGGCACTCAAACCTACAATCCCAGCATTGGATCAAGAATCAGTCACAAACTCCAGAGGCTGCCCCATGATTGCTGGGGCTTTGGGGTGACACCTAGGCCCAAACCATAGCAGTTAACTGCCATACATCTGCCCTTGTAGCTCATAGTTTGTACAGAGTTCAGTCCATACTTAGCTGGCTCCAAAGCAGGCTAGAACGGCAGATACTCATCACAGAGGAGAAAGTCCACGACAAAGCGGGACTCTGCCAGACGCCTGGAAGGCAGCATAGCAGTGAATTATCGGCGGGCAGCCTGCTGCTCCCTTCTATGCTCTTCAGGCTGCCTGTCCTTTGGGTGCTGTCACCCCCACCCAGGGTGGGCCTTCCCATTGTCCACACCCAGAACGATGCCAGCCATAATCCCAGCATCACACCCTTAATCCCACCATCACACACCCTCCATCCAGCCAGCTCTGAAAAGTCTGACCTATGTCCACATGAGGGTTTAGGAGGACATCTAGGCCATCATGCTGTTTACACACACACACACACACACACACACAGCACATATTCTATACCATTTTAGCCATAAGTGTACAATGTAGTGGGGATAACTATATGCTCTTTGTTTTGAAACAGAACTCTACAATATGCTCCTTCTAAAGAACACACTCTATATTCATCCAACGACTTTCCTTTGCCCGGCCCCTGGTAACTCCCCTTCCACTTTGTTTTTAATAGTTTAGATACTTAATTCAAGGGAACCATGCGGCATTGTCTGCCACAACTTTCACATTTCATTTAACGTGCTGCCTTCAGGGACTGCCATGTCGCAACACATACTGCCCTGTACTCACCTTTCATAATGCCAAATAACATTCCATCGTATGCAACATTTTCTTTTGCCCATTCGTTGACTGAGGGCTATTAGGTCCCTTCTAAAA